TGAGAAAGCCATCAGAGATTTTACACAGGGAAGTAATTTGATCTGACATGTTTTAGAAGAATCACTTTAGCTACAGTGAGAAGAATAGGCTACAAGCAGCAAGGGTGGGGAAATGAACATCAATTAGGAGGCAATTGCAGTGATTCAAGTACAAGATGACGGCTGTCTGGACTGGGATGGAAGCAGCGGTGTTGGTTAGAAGTGGTCACACTGGGATTTCCCTGGTGGTCTGGTGGTTAAGACTCCGCACTTCCAACGCAGGAGGTGCAGACAAGCTGCCTTGTCTGTGTTCTCCCATAATCCTGCACATTTCCCCCCATGGTGCTCACGATTCCCACATGGCAGTCTTCCCCACTATACTGCGTGCCTTTTAGGGGCAGGACTGCAGCCTCGCCCACACCACATGCCCACAGCTAGCTCAGGGCTTGTGTCAGTGGGTGACCAGCATATGTGTCTTAAAGAAGGAAAAAAAAAAAAAAGCTTACATGTCAAAAGCGGTCGAGGAAGGCTTTGTGGAGAAGGTGGGATTCGAGCACTAGCTTGCCGGCACTAGATTTTACAAGAGAGGGAGAAGAGGAGAGAGCGTGGGAGAAGAGGCCAAGCCAGGAGAGAAAGAAAGGGTGGAATGGGGGAAACACAGAGGATGCCCAAAAGATAGGAGTCCCCTGTATTTGGCAGACTCGCGTGGATCTGGGAGGAACAGGGAAGCGAGGCTGGGGCCAGGCTGGGAGGCAACGGGGGTCAGGACCTGTTTCTCAAACCGTGCTCCTTGGAACACCAGTGTTCCATTAAGTTGGAAATGTGACTTGCTTCCTGGTTTCTCCCTAAGTTCAAGGCACTTCTTCGTAGACCAGTTTGACAACAACTGTCGTGACCGATAGCGAACGATATGACATTATTTATTAAGTGATTGCCACCTGCTGGGTACTCTTCAACACAGCTTTCTCTCACGCAACAGCTCTGTGAGGCAGGGACCAATATTCTATTTGCAGATAAGGAAACTGAGGCAGAGAAAGGGGAACTTGCCAAGCTCTCCAGCGGGAGTTGCTGGAAGCAGGAGCTGGGCTTAGTGCAAACCCAGGGCGTCCGAGAACAAAATCCAAGTCAATGTGTGAGCGCTGAGCTGCTCCTTCCCCTCCTTTCTGTGGGGTGTCTGGGACTGGTGGTGGGGGAGATCAGAAGAGCAAAGAAGGGACAGAAGAAGCACCTTAGCACTTAGGGGAGGTGCCTCCTCTGGACACCGAAGAAAGAGGATCACAGCCAAGGGGAGAAGTGGACCCAGAGTGAGAGGAAGACAGAAACCCAGCCGTGGAACTGGGATAGAAAAGTTCACAAAAGCTGAGCTGGAAAGCTCTCCTCGGTGAGTGCATTTCTGCCACATGAATCGTCTACACCCAGACGGGCCTGACTCTCTAAGCCGGGGTCACAGAGCTGCCCTCCAGAAGACTGACGGGGGAAATGTTGCTGGGGGCTGTCTGGGCAATGACAGGCGGACAGACCCGAATGACTGGGCAGCCATGTTCCTAGGCAACAGATTACAGGAAACCTGCCCACAGCCCAGCCATGCCAGCCCCTGCTCCAGGCCATCACAATTTCCCAAGTAGTTATTGTGGCTGTGATTGGAAAGGAGTCACAGTCACGTGTTTAAGATAAATGTAATTTCGCTGGCTTAGAGTGTATGTTCTGGAATGCTGCAGTCTGGGCCAGGCCTGGCTACAAACAAAAGGGGCATCCATGACAAAGAAAAAATGCATTATATATGCACAAAACGTTATAGTTTGCAAAGCCCTTTATCACCTTGATCTCATGTTGAGTTAGACGACAGCCCTGTGATGTAGGTGAGGAAATGGAGGCACAGAAAAGTCAAGCAACTTATATAATGTCATACAGCAAGTCAGTGTCAGAACCATGTGTTATCCCTAAATCTGGGTTCCAAGTTAGTTCAGGTGTTTGAGACCTAAACTTACAAGTGTTTTAACAAGTGATAAGGATAAAGAAGGCAAGAGAGGACTCCAAGGATGAAAAGATACTGTTTTCTCAGTCACTGTGAATCTGAAATGTACCTTAAAACAGATTTCAAGTATCTAATGCTTTGTGGGCTTCCCGGTGGCTCAGTCGGTAACGAATCCACATGCAATTCAGGAGACGTGGGTTGGATCCCTGGATCGGGAAGATCCCCTGGAGAAGGAAATGGAAACCCACCCCAGTATTCTTGCCTGGAGAACCCCATGGACAGAGAAGCCTGATGGGCTACAGTCCCTGGGGTTGCAAGAGTTGGACACGACTTAGCAACTAAACCACCACAATGCTTTATGCCTCATCAAAGCATTTCACCCTCATTACTTCACACTGCTCGCAAGATGGCAGGTAAGGAGGTGAGTGTAGGTGATTCACAGAGAAAGAAACAGAGGCTCTGGGTGGTGAGGAAACGTGCCCATGGGGCCCCCAGGGGAAGAGGATGGATTCCCCCTGGAGGGTTGCTTCCGGCCCTGTGCTCCTCTCCTGACCCCAGGCCTGGCAGCACTCAGCGGGGTCGAGCAGTGGAAAACGCTTACAGGCCTGCGGCTCCATGTGCCAGCTGCGCTCTGTCCAAACCAGAGGCTCCCTCTCTGTCTGCCCTCCAGCTGGGGCCCCGGTTCCGCCCCGTGGCCGCCCCATGCCGCTGGTCCACAGCAAGACAGGCGGAAAAACCACGGCCCTGGCCCTCCACCCTGCACCCTCTCTGTGCCAGGGCTCTGCGGCTTGGCCACGCATGAGGGCCCACATGACGCTCCCGGAATAGCTGTCACTGTTGAATAGATGTGACCACGCAGTCCCCTGGGATGACCCCTGGATGCCTCCACGTTGCAACTCTCTCCTTCGCCCCAACCTTCCAGTGGCTCAAGCCAGGACTTGTTTTCTCTGGTCCTGCCTCTAAGCTGTGCCCACTTCCCCTTTCTAATGCCCCAAGCCTGATGGCTGATGGACATCCTGCCTGGGGTCCAAGTGCCTAAGGAAAGATTTCGGATGACAGTTACCTCCACCACCACCACCCCGCCCCCCACCAAAACTGACCACTGCCTGAATGCCTCTCTCCAAAGGCTTCCACCAGCCTTCCCGGAAATCCTGCTGACTGGTTCCCACTATCAGGGTAGCCTCTCTGGACCTGGGGCTGTACCCTGGGACCAGCCTCCTCTCCTGCTGCCGAACCAGCATCCTCTCTTGTCAGAGATGCCGCCTCGCTGCCTCACCCTCCGCCTTCCTGTTCCACGCTACCGTGTCTCTCCTGCTGCAGCCTTTAAAGGACAAGAAACAAACGTTCAATGATAGAAGAACCGATAAATAAAGTGTGTGTATTTACAATGGGATGTACAGCCATGCAAATGAAATGGAAACAACGACCTACCTCCACACAGAGTCAGAAAGAAAGTTGCAGAAGACTATGTACGTGATCGCAGTGTTTTTTTGATGCTCAGAAACAAGCAAAATGATATACTCCTTAGGGATATATTCACATATAATAAAAGGTTTTTTTTTAAGGAAGGAAATGGTAACGAGAACATTCGGGATGATGGTTACCTCGGGGTGAGGAATGGGATCAGGGAGCAGCACTGTAATGGGAGACCTTGGGTTGGGAGGTAGGTTGGAGATGATGGTTTTGTGCTTCTGCTTCGTAGCTTACACACATGTTCTACGTATTCTTTCTTATATTCTAACTGCTTCAAGATTAGATCGAGTGGGTCCCAGAGGTGGTATTTTGTATCATCTGATCCCTAGCCTGATTTATCTGCAGGAAACTGCGTGCCCATCAAGCACCTGGACTCCGGGTCTCCCCCACCACCTTCACGGCCAAATGACCTGGAAGGATGCACCACCCCCGTGTCCATCTCCTCCCTGCCCAGCAGCTGATTCAGTGATCCACACATCACCCTGTCCCTTACTGAATGGCAGTGCCCAAGGGGGTCTTCTCTGGCCTCTGCTCACCCTGCAGCATCTCACAGCCCTGTGACTATCTGAACGCTGATGCTCCCAATCTCTCTCCCGCCCAGCCCTCTCTCTCCTGTACTCCAGGATCAGATGCCCAACGTCCTCCTAACCTCCCCACTTGGGTGTCACACACGCCCTTCAAAGCCATGTTCAGTCCAGCTCCTGACCCCTGCCCACAAGCCTGGCCCCCCTCCGGCGGCTTCTCTCCATCCATCCAAGCACCTAAGCCAGCCGGGAGTCAGTCCGTCTCCGGCTCTTCCCGCCAGTCTTTCCACTCTCCCCCAGGATGCTTTGTCTCCCCAGCCCCCTCCAGTCTCGCCTGCTCCATCTAACTCTTACTCCAGGCCCTACTTCTGGGAAGTCTTCCCAGACCACCCTTGTTCCCACTCAGAAAATGTTAGATGGCCCCACAATCTCACAGCACCTGGTATGTTTCCTTTATTCCAGCACTTGTGACACTTTATGCAAATGGCTTTTTTTTCTTTTTTCTGGCCATTCTATGCAGCATGTTGGATCCTAGTTCCCCTACCAGGTAGCAAACCCAGGCCCGGTGCACCGGAAGCGTGGAGTCCTGACCACTGGACCACCAGGGAAGTCCCTACACGAATTGCTCTTTAACTTATTCGTCTCCCACAAGAGCACAGATTCTCTGCATAAGCCAGCAGGGACCTGACTTCTGGCCTCACTGGTACCTCAAACAGTGCCTGGCCCCTGCTAAGCAGGTGGTGAAAACTGCAGGAAGAAAGAATGAATGGGAGGCACTGTGGCTTTCCATACTGCTCATTTCACTCTTACAAGCATCCTTTAAGGGAGGTTTACTCTTAGTCTCATTTTACAGGTGAGAAAATGGAAGTAACTTGCCCCAAGGCACACAGCAGGAAGTTGGACCCTGCTTCACACCAAAGCCCATGCGGGCAACCATCCTCCTCCCCTCTGACCGCCCCGCCCCCATCCCTCACCCCACAGGAGACCAGGGAGCCCTCCAAGGGCCCCGTCAAGGCCAAGAACTCCAGTTGGGAACTGGCGCTGGTTACCTGGAAGCAGGTGGGGCCTGGCCTCCCTGCGGGGATGTCCGACTGGTAGAACACTTTGAGTTCTGGGGTCAGGGCAATGACGGTCTTGATCACCAAGGAGATGATATCGGACCAGACCTTCTTGATGTCAACACCCTTGGAGGACAGCCTATAGAGAATGCTAGAAAAAGTCCTTTTGCTGCCTGTGCTAGTACTGTCCGAATGGATGAAGTTCCCGCTGTGGATGTTCAGGGAGTAGTTGGTCAAATGCATGAAGATGTGGTGCAGGTTTTTGGGGCTGGGCTCTTGGTACGGCTCCGTACAAAACCGAGAGAGTCCGTCTTTGGCTATGTAGATCTCTAAGGGCTCTAGAGACTTTAGTAGGACGTACAGACGGATGTCGAACTTGAGTTTGTCGATGAGCAGGGGCTTGCAGATGTACTCCTGGACCACTGCCGGCCTGCTCTGGAGCGTCCCCGACAGGCGGATGTCACTGGGGTCTTTGATGAGGTAGATCCCGTCTCCCTGACAACCACTGTCAGGCTTCACGATAAAGGTGGGCTTCCAGGAGGGGTCCCCATCTTTCACCATTCGAACCTGCGGGAGAAAAAGGATGGTTAGCGCCATGTTCCTGTCCTCTCTGGTCCCCGAGACACAGCAGGACCTTGGCAAATGGTGAATGAGGGACAGAATGACCCCACCTACATAAGGACTCACTCAGCACCTGCCAGCGAGGTAACACTGTGCCAGGTACTGAGACAGTGACCCCCAAATTGCCGCGATCTTGTCCTCCACAGTGCAGCCAATTTGCAATCAGGAGACCGGGGTTCCCACCCCAGGTCTTGGCCGGTTATTAGCTATCACCCTGAGCAAGTTCTGATAGCTCAGTTGGTAAAGACTCCACCTGCAACGCAGGCGACCTGTGTTCGATCCCTGGGTTGGGAGGATTTGCTGGAGAAGGGATAGGCTACCCATTCCAGTATTCTGACCTGGAGAATTCCATGGACTGTATAGTCTATGGGGTCGCAAAGCGTCAGACATGACTGAGCGAATTTCACTTCACTTCACTATGTGTGGGACTATTTGAGGCACTTTACAGAATTTATTTCATCCAGCCCTCACAGAACATATGGTTGTTCCCTTTTCGTAATATAGGAAACAGGGAGTGCAGGCCTGGAGGTCAGAATGTCTGGGCTCATATCCCCTCCCTGCTGCTTCCTGTGTGACCCCGGGCAAGTTACGTCAATTATCTGTGTCTTCCCCGTCTGTAAAATAGGAGCAAGACTGTTCTGAGGATTAAATGAGATAATGCTTGCAAGGGTGAGGCCCACTGAAGCTGACACAGGAAAGGCAGCCATAAAGCCTAGGTGTTGCTGGTTGGTTTTTTGTTTTTTTGAAACTTTATAAGAAACTCCAAAGTCTGTATTTAAAGTGATTATAGCATTGCTGTTTTTTTTTAAAGATGAAGTAACTTTCTGGCAGACTGAAGGGCAGAACCGGTATTAGAACCTAGATCAAGGGCTCTGAGGTGTGTGCACCGTCCTCTGTACTTCCACGCCTCAGTCTCCTCGTTTTAAAAAAATGGGGATATAAAAACCTTCCTCCCCGGATCACTTTAAAGAGGAAATAAACTGCAATGTGCATAGGGCAGAACGCGCCGCTACAGAGAGCTCGCACGCGGGAACTGTTAGTTTCAGCTTCTGTGTCTCTCATTAGGTTCATCTGGTAGACTCACTCGGTCCTTTGATCTGTTGAGATCTTTTGAAACTAGATTCTGTCATCCTAAGATCTGCTCTCTTCCCAGCTCCAGGTCAGCAGGACACCCACATAATTACCCGGGGTGCTTGACCGACGCAGACACTCAGCCTGGCTCTGCACCACTCATACACACCCAGTTTCCCCCAGACAACTTGTCTGATCCTTGAGAGGTTTTCATCAGGAGAGGGGAACTGGAGGAAATTTAAAGGTGGATCTGGTTTTTCATTGTTGTTGTTGTTTTTAAATTTTCAATGTGTGTGTTTTTTTTTTAATGTGGACCATCTTTAGTCTTTATTGAAATTGTCACACTATTGCCTCGGGGTTTTTATTTATTTGTGGCTTTGCTGGGTCTTCGTTGCTGCACCGGCTTTTCTCGAGTTGCGGCGATCAGGGGCTGTTCTTTGTTGAAGTCTGTGGGCTTCTCACTGTGGTGGCCTCTCTTGCTGCGAAGCACTGGTTCAAGGGCATGAAGGCTTCAGTAGCTGCAGTGTGTGGGTTCTGCAGCTGTGGCACACGGGCTTAGTTCTCCGAGGTATGTGGGATCTTCCAGATCAGGGACTGAACCCATGTCTTCTGCACTGGCAGGCGGATGCATTACCACTGAGCCACCAGGTAAGTCCCCTGCCTCTATTTGATCCTTCGTTTTTTTTTTTTTTAGCTGCAAGGCATGTGGGATCTGCACTCCCTGGTCAGGAATCGAACCAGTTTCCCCTGCACTGGAAGGCAAAGTCTTAACCACTGGACTGCCAGAGCAGCCCCTTACTGGTGAATTTGAAAGAGGGAGCCACTGTCTCTGCAGCTTCTGGCTTGAAAGAGCTCGAGAGCGAGCTTTCCTTCCTTGCTGAACCTTAACTCCGAGCTGAGCCGGCGTGCCCCGACATCAGACTCGCCTGGCCGCACACCTTTGCTGCGTAAGCCCAACCCAGGACATCTGTGCTCTGGTTTTACTTATCTCTTTGACCAGCCTATATTTCTAAGTGAAGCTTTTGCCAATTCCTTGGGCACTATCAGTTACTCCGGGCTTGTAAAAGATCGTTAACAATGGAGGAAACACTTAAAGCCTTAATAATGGTCCACATCCATTGTTTCCCCTCGTCAGCAGGATCCGAGAATGGAACTTCATGGGAGATCAATGCCGGCCTCCCAGGGCCCTCCACCGAGCCTACCTTGCAACAGTGACCTTGACGCTTAGGTAGTTATTTAATATTCATCTGAAGCGTTCATACGTTTGGCCCTTTACAGTAAATATAAGCATGCTGGAGAAATGGCAGTTATGGATCAAGAAGTGAAAAATGTCAGGTTTGCACTGATGGGTAATTTTTCCCTCTGGAAAGCTTTTGCTGTGCTGAAGATACTAACAGTTCAATATATTATTGGCCACAATATTTTCTCCTTTGAATTCACTGTATATGCCTTAAATAAATTAAACTACATGGTCAATAGTCTCTGTCATTCACTTCTTTACTGAATATTTCTTCTGTTCTGCCAGAGTAGTACCATACGAATCAAGATTATTAATACCAACAGGATCATGGAACCTTTAGAACTGGAAGGATCCTCGGAGATCAATGGCACCCAATCCTCTCATAATTCACACGGAGCAGTGGCGGCTCAGAGAGGTGACATGAGTGGCCTTGGGTCCCCTTACTGGCTATGGGGATGGTTAGGATGAGAACTGGGGCGTCCCAGGTGGCGCTAGTGCTAAAGAACACCCCAGCCAATGTAGAAGAACTAAGAGATGCGGGTTCTATTCCTGGTTCGGAAAGATCCCCTGGAGTAGGAAATGGCAACCCACTCCAGTATTCTTGCCTGGAGAATCCCATGGACAGAGGAGCCTGGCGGGATACAGTCCACGGGGTCGCACAGAGTCGGATACTACTGAAGCCACTTAGCGCACACACAGGACGAGAACTGAAGACTTCTGACCTCATGGCAAGTTCCCTGTGCCATCTTTATCTCTGACAAGATAAAAAAGGTCTCTTTTCCCCTGAATGCTATTGGAAAGATTCTCTTAATATGGCAGACAGAATCTGAGCTCTGGCCACACACTGAAGAGTTTGGCCTTTGAGCCTGGCCTTCTTGGAACTGTCATCATAGATCCTGAGTTTGCCAGGCCTGCCTCAGTTCCAGATCTTCTGTCTGGGCTCCTGGCTTGCTCCAATATAGGCACCATTTATGGGAAAGCTTCATAGCTGTTCTGAGTGTCATTCCCCGAGCCACCAGACCCCTTCAGTAACTTCTATTTTAAAAAGAGAAAAAAATTCTAGAAGTCACATTCACTTTCCTCAGAGGTTTTACTCAAAGGTGACCTCTTCCCCCCAGTTATTAAAGTTATTAAAGAATGAACGCATTGGTTCTTAGCAAGAAGTCATGGACCAGAATCTAAAGATAGTCTACATAACTAGGCCCCAGGCCCAGAAATTCTGACTTAATAGATCTGGGATGAGACCTGGGCATATATGTATTTGAGAAAAAGCATGACGGGTAATTCTGGTGTCCACTCCGTTTGAGAATCACTGGGCTAACGTGAATTAAATAAAAATGCAATCTGGACCCTACATCCTGAATGAAGTTTTACGCATTAATGCTAGCCAGAATATGAGAAAAACTTGCACTTGGGCTACAGCTGATGGTATCACCAGTTTCACCCAAACATGCCCTTGCATGTGAAATTCATTATCTTGTAACTGTTTGCACAGGGTGCTGAGACAGGTGTGCAGAGGGTGAAGTGGCCAGACTGCCAGGCACTCATTGGCACTATTGAAAATTTTTGTGTCTTTTACTGCCCCCTAGTGGATATTTAAGAAATGTGACCAGGAAAGACTCTCCCCCCCCGGCACCCCCCATTCAAAATATGACTCTTTTTAGTCATTTGGCCACCTGGTGCAAAGAACTCACTCATTAGAAAAGACCCTGATGCTGGGAAAGATTGAGGGCAGGAGGAGAAAGGGAAACAGAGGATGAGATGGTTGGATGGCATCACCGACTCAATGGACATGAGTTTGAGTAAATTCTAAGAGGTGGTGATGGACAGGGAAGACTGGCGTACTGCAGTCCATGGGATCAGAAAGAATCGGACACAACTTAGCTACTGAATAACAACAACAAAAGCACTCTACAAAATGCTAAGGGTCGATCCCTGGGTCGAGAAGATCCCCTGGAGAAGGAAATGGCAACCAGTATTCTTGCCTGGAGAATCCCATGGACAGAGGAGCCTGGCGGGTTACAGTCTACAGGATCACAGAGTCAGACATGACTGGAGCAACGTACGACCCATGCACAGTCTTAAAGAAGCACCACCACAAAAATTTCCCGCTGCACTACTGTCAAAGTAAGCTCATACTTTGAATGAATGAAATCTCTAGAACACCATGGTTAGCCAAGGTTGTACTCAGTTCTCACACTGTCTGTCCCTTAAAAACACTTCAAGTGTTCTCCTTAATACACAGATTGTTAAAAAAAAAAGTCTCCCTCGGTTAAAATTCTCTGTCTATATAAAACTTTTAGAATTATGGGAAACATAAGTATGAAATACAGGAGATACATACCAGGTAAAATCAGTGACTTTTATATTCTTCAAGGTGGTTTTTTGTTGCTGTTGTTCTTTTCCAAATTTACCATTTAAAAAAAAATACCAGTAGCAGCAAGTGTCTCTGAATATATTTTCATAAGGAATAGCTCTTGGCAAACAGATGTTTGTATGCCCATGTTCATAACAGCTTTATTATCACTAGCCAAAATGTGGGGGAAACCTGAGTGCCCATCAACAGATGAATGGATAAACAAAATGTGGTATGTACATACAATCGAGTATTACTCAGCTACAAACAGGAAGGAAA